TGAGTAAGCAGTCTGAGTGGGACTTGAACCCAGGGCTAGCTCATGCCACGGCAAGGGCTCTTAACAGTACAGCTTCTCGAGAGAAACAGATGGATCTGTTCACAGGCAGGATTAATTCACTGACCAGCTTGGAAAATCACTAAAGATTATTAAATAGATAAATGCTTACTGCAGCTCGCTCTAGAGCAAGGTCCATGCTCTTAGAGTTGCCCACTTTGTTGATTTTCTCTGTCCATGGCATCTTATTAAAAGTGGCAGGTGTCCCCTTGGCAGTCATGTGGGCATCGTGTCACATCTTACTTTCAGCTGTCTTGGAGGAACAATAATGCTGTCTCTGAATTCCCTGCGCTGTCCAGGGCCCCCCAGGTGAATTCTGCACACCCCATCTTGTCATTGTTTTAAACCAGACTCTCCTTGTACTCACACTCAAATTTGAGAAATTCTGTTCAACCATTTGGCATGCTGCAGTGACAGATTTTTTTTTTTAAATATTAAGCATTTATTGGCCCACAGTTTTGGTGGATCAGAATTTCAAGAGGGGTCTAGCTGGGTGCTCTGGATCACGGTTTCTCATGGGGTTGCCATAAGATGTCAGCTGGGGCTGTCATCATCTGAAGCTTGACTAGGGGCAGGCGGGTCCATGTCCAAGATAGCTTCTTCGTGTGGCTGGCAAGGTGGTAATCATCTGAAGCTTGACTAGGGGCAGGCGGGTCCATGTCCAAGATAGCTTCTTCGTGTGGCTGGCAAGGTGGTACCGGCTGTTGGCAGGAGACCTTACTTAGTTCGTCACTATGTAGCCCCCTCCATAATGTTACTTGAGCCTCCTTGAGATATAGCATCTGGTTTCCCTAGAAAATATTTCAGGAAATCAAGTTGGAAGTGGCACTGTCTTTTATATCCCAGTCTCAGAATTTGCACACCATCACTTCCTCTGTATTTTACCGATCACATAGAGCAATCCTGGTACAGTGCGAGGGAGGATTATGCAAGGGCATGAATACCAAGAGGCAAAGGTCACATTGGATGCTGGCTACCACCCTCCTTCTCTCAGAGCTTTTCATTTTTTCTTAGCTCACCTAATTCAGCTCTCTGCTGATATGTGATCTTCTTGAAGATCTTTCTACCTATTTAATATAGACTCCTCTTGCCCTGTTATCTTCTATCCCATTACCCTGCAATGCTTCTATAGCATTTATCATTGCCTGACATTATATTATTTACTCCTTTATGCATTTGTTTTCTTATCATCTATTCCCCAGACTTCATGATGGGAGACACTTTGGATAGACAGATATTTAATTGTATTTATTTACTGATTGAATATGCAAGGTAACGGAGAAAGGAAATTTAAAATAAACGGAAGTCGTTTCATGCCGAGGGGACAGGGGCGGTGTGTGATGAAGAATAGCAGCACGCACACTAACAATTTGGAAGACACACTTTGAAAGTTGAGCAGACTGGCGAGTTTGAAGAGAAAGATGGTGAGCTTGCCTCTCGGAGCGTTTAATTGGAGTTGACAGTGGAACACCCACGTAGAAACGTCCTGTAGCCAGCTGGAGCTGACTGGAGCTCAGGAGAAAGGGAGAGGATAGAAATTGAAGTCAAGATTCATCAGCCCTGAGAGATGAGAGCTGATGTTTTGAGCTGTGACAAGTCCTCTTTGGGAAAGAGAACCAAGCTGGACTCGCAGTCGGTACTCCATCTCTGCTTTGATGTCCAAGTAAGAGAGGCCAGCAAATAGGTCCTACTTAAAACCCAATGCGTCTGACTGTCAGAAGGATCTTTTGAAGCCTTAGAATAATTTAATAGGAAGAGTGGGGAACAAAGTCCAGTTTCAGGGCACCGTGGGGGAGGGGAATAATTATGTCAGAATTGGAGGCGGTGGGGGAGGGCCATTTCATGAGCTGCAGTCCCCCAGGCTCTCTCTCTGTGCCTCCCGTGCAATTTCTCTGAATGCGCTGTACCTTAGATTGTGGTTTGAGTTCATTGTCTGTTTGTTTTAACCAAGATTTTGAATTCTCTGAGGGCAAGGTCTGTAGCTTCTTATCCTTTGTGTCCCTTTAACACTTAATACCATGACTTGCAAAAATAAATGCTCAGTAAAAGTTCTAAAATTGACTTCTCTGCTCAAGACTGGCTCTGGGTTGCCGTTGGCAGTGTTTCCCAACTTCTGATGTTCCCTGCTTTGGAGTGGGAGATGGACTTGGTAGTACAGGGACAAATTAATTGCATTTGTTTTCAGAATAAATAACTTAAGGGATTGATGCACCCAAACCGGACTGGTCAAAGCAAAGTTAATAGACTCCAGATAAGCCTTATATTTTTTGCAGAGACAACAAATCTCCATGTATGACTTTGGTATGAAGTTTGAAAATGTTGAAATAACTGTATTTAAGTTAAAAAAAAAGGAGAGTTAATACAATATTTTTAAATCAGTAAAGTTTAGTAGATGAGTTAGACAAGTGTGGTAAAGATCTTGAAGCCAGGAAGTGAGAAGACTGAACTTTGGGTCGATGGCCAGATCTAGACCAAATCAGCTGACCATCATCTGGTCCCCCTGCCTTCCTCCCATCTCCTCTTTTGTAACTCCCTGCCGTCTATGCTCCCTCGCCAGCAGTAATAGCCATAAAATCAGGGGCTTCAAGTGCTAGTTATATTTTTTACAATATGCATTAAAACAAACACAGAACTGTAAGGGTAAAAACATATGCAACCATAGCCCACCTAAAATTATCTCCCACCCCATTTTGGGAAACACTGCCATTTGGAAGTTTATCTGGTCTCACTCGTCTGGGGAATCCTTAACATCGGGCATCATGGCTTATTCACAGCGGCATCTCTAGCAGTAGAACAGCCTGGCTTAGAGTGGGCATCATTAAGTGTTTGTCCGAAAGAATGAAATGGACAGCAGAATGCCAGCTTTAATGTTTAAGAGCTGAAGCGCTGGTGTGTCGAAGCCACAGTCAGTACAATTCAGAGACCACAGAGCTCAGGGTTTCCCCGCACGCAGTTAGTGGTAGAAACAGACCACAGAACGTGGCATTACCCACCGTGGAGTTCTCTCCCCGATGTTGAGATTCTGACTAATGAGTTTGGGGGGACAAGTTGAGTTCTTCCAAGCAGAAAGCAAGCAACTGAAATCTCTCCCTCACTTTCTTCTCTCTCTCTGTGGCCGATGCCATCTGCTAGTTTTAAAAATAATTTTTAAAGCAAGTGTTTTGGTTCTCTTCAACGTGCAGCAAAGACAGATGCTATTTTTAGGCTTGTTTTATATCAAAAAAAAAAAACAAACCCAGAGAACCAGGGGCTGGGTGTCGGCAGTTCTGGCTGACTGTCTCTGCTCTGCCGCTAACTTCTAAGTGACCTTTTTGCAAATCTCATATGCTTTGGACGCTGAGAACAGAAGTGATCATTCTGCCTCCCTCTCTGCCTCTCATTAGAGATGCTGACAGGGTGAAGTAGTGTCTGTCTGAGAAAGTCCTCCGACATTTCAAAAATGGTTGATTAACCCGTGCTCCTCCCCTGTGACCTGCCAACTCTTCTTGACATGTGGATGGATTTCCACTTCCCTGCTCTTCCCCCCTGGACTGGAAGCTCCCAGAGGGGAGGACACACCCGCACATCCATATCACAACTGGAGTCAGAACCGCACACGGGAAGCTGAATCCTGAAGAGGTGATGAGTGTAGACTCTGAAACCGACCTGCCCGGGTTCAAATCCTGCCGGGGGAAGTGGTAATGCTCGTCATGTTGGGTTGTTTAGAGAGACAGGTGAGATAAATATATATAAAGCACTCAGCTTAGTCACATAGTAAGTGCTCACATGATGGTAGCTTTGCTTCATGGTTATTATTCTAATGGTGACACACTCAGTCCACATTTGACAAATGCACATATGACTGTACCATATAAGAAAAAGTTCTATGCACTGTAAGGAAGATTTTTTAAATTTTACCTGGTTTTTTTTTCGGTTGCGGGGGACAATGATTAGGTTTATATATTTATTTATTGTAATGGAGATACTGGGAATTGAACCTAGGACCTCATACATGCTAAGCAGGCACTCTACCACTGAGCTATAGCCACCGCAGGAAGATTTTTTTTTTAAGTGATGGATGAAACATTTGTCGTATGGGCATCACCGTGTTAGAACTTCACCTTACATATGTCATCTTAGTACTTACACTCTGGGGCGGGTGAATCATGTCCAGTCTACAGGTGAAGAGAAAGTTGGAGCTTCGCGAAGTTAACTGCTGTTACCCAGTTACTAAGCAGTGGAAGAAGACTTCAAATCCTATATTGATTTCACAGGGAACCTTTGCCCCAGACTTGACTTCTCCGCTGTCCCCGCTCCTGGGCTTACAACCCCGCACAACAGCTTCATGACTTTTGACAGCACACCTCCTTTTATATGGGGACCCGCCACCCCAACATATAAATACAACCAAAATATATTTCACAACAGGACCAGTCCTGGAAGCCGCCCACTGTCATGTTTACAATATCCTGTTGGTTACACATGAGTCCAGTTCGGAGTGGGAAGGGACTGCACAAGGGTGTGAACGCTGGGCGGTGACAATCACAGGGAGGTGCAGGGCGTCGTGGAGGCCGGCTGTTACCTGTAATGGGATTCATTTAATATTCTCTGCTCTTTATTAAAATTAGCTGTATCTTAAACAATAATAGCCATTAAGTCACACGATGAATGTGCTAATTATATTTTCCAGTACAAACAAATATAAATTTAGCATTATTAACTTTTTAAAAAGTTTTATTAATTAATTAATTAATTGATTTTAGCATTATTAACTTTTTAAAAAGATTGCATGTGCTCACTTCCAGGGGCACAGATATCGCACTTGGGGAAACACGGGCCAGCAGACAGGGGCCTGTCACGGAGTCCTGGTGGTTTTGATCCTAAATCCTAACTGGTCCACGCTCTCCATTTAGAACCCGAGAAACCATTGGAGGCTGACTTTGCTCTGTGCTCTCCCCTCCCAGGACCGGCTGTACTTCGTGATGGAGTACGTGAACGGTGGCGACCTCATGTACCACATCCAGCAAGTGGGCCGGTTCAAGGAGCCTCACGCCGTGTGAGTGAGAACTTGCGCTCTGCTTTTCCCCTGGGATAGATGGGTGGGTTGTTAGTTCCTTTGGGATTTTAACAGAAGAGGGATTTTGAACACCTTGCGCTTCTTCGGGAGAAATGCGTGGCCAGGGGCAAGGGGTGTTCTGCTGCGATGGGACTCTTCTTTCTCTCTCGACATCAGCTAAGAAATTGAAGCTTCAATTTTTGCCCCTGGCTTATAAGGAAAGGCCCTAGAGCTTCCTCGGGGCATGTCATTGCAGGTTTGGTTTATTCATTTGCCAGGGTTTTATTGAGAGCATACTATGTGGCAGGCCGGGAGAGTTTTTAGAAACTTGCTCAAGGTCAGAGAGATAGTGTGAGGCGGATCCCGAATTCTGACCCACATCTTCTCTGCTCATGTTTTCTGTCAGACACCTCTCTCCCTCCTAGCTGCCCTCTTTCCAGGGAGACGAAGGATCCAGTTGCATTTCGGCTCTGCTCTGTGGCTCTGGGGATGGGGAGGCTGACTCTGGGTTTTTGGAAACTGTTTTTCCTGCTGAGTCCTTTCTGTCCCTGTCCGTCCACAAGGCAGCCGGGCTCTTCTTTTTATTACTGTTATTTTTTAAATTTTCTTTTTTACATACAAGAGTCTTTTATCGGTCACTTATGTGCCAGGTACGAACATTAGCCAAAACAAATCACTGTTTCCACTTAGAAGAGCCTGTTGTCTCTTCCCATAGTGGTGTTTCTCCCCCAGCTCTGCAGATCCACAATCACAAGTGAAGACAGCTTTACTTACTCTAGAGCTCGGCTCCAGCAACAAGCTGGTATCTTTTAGTGTCAGGCACTGTCATTAAAACCCCAGCAGGCAACCTGCAGAAAAAAAGCGTGGCAGTTCTAAACCAAAAAGTTGATCCAATTCACCCATCTACGTGGAAGTTGATAGCAACAGCTGGACCCAGGTCCTGAGATATTATAGGGAAGGCGAGTGGCAGCTGCAGGTGTGACGCTGACCTGTGCTGTCAGAGTCTCTCCGAGCTGCTCTTGCATGTGGTTGCAGACAGTCTTTTTAGAAAACGCGAATCTCACCCCGTTTCTTCCTGCTATTGGTGAACAGGAACGTGGCAAGTCACAGGATCAGCCACGCTAACCTCTCCTAGGGAGTTTGCCAAGCTCTTCTGGTCCCTCTAGAAAGCCCCCGGGGCTCATCCAGGGCCCCATCCTGTCACTCCAGAGGCTTGCTGGCTCCTGTCCAGTTCAGCCCCGCCCTCCCTCAGCCCCGCCCTCCCCCTGCCCCGCCCTCACCAGCCCCGCCCTCTCCCCGCCCCGCTGCCGAGGTCGTGAGCGCTAATGCTCGTAGGGTTTGCTTTCTCATGCTTCCAGATCCTGCCATGGTTTTGTCTTGACACACCTCTCATGCGTTGGCTCTTCTTTTCCTTCTAACATCTAATTGACCCCTGACACATTGTCAGAACACTTGACAGGGTTCCCCCGAAGCTCTGCCCAGCCTTTGCGGCATAACCGGGCTTTCTGATTCTCTGCCAGTCTTTTTCCTTCCAGGCCTTCATGAAGAGCTTACACTTTAGCCAGATGCTGTTTCCAAGCCTGGCTGTGCCAGTCATTCGCTATATAGCTTGGCCAAGTTATTCCATGTCCTTAAGCTTCAGTTTCCTCATTGGCGGAACAGGGAGGTCATAATAGCACCTGCCTCATAGGATTCATATTACAGTTTAGTCAGATAATAACCAAAAGTGATGCAAGGTCGATGGTAAGCCTTCAACAGATGTTAGCGAGCTATTATTGTTAAGATATTTTAACTTGCTATAGTCTGAAACGATCATTCTCCAGCCAGCCCATCATATCCCATGGCGTCCACCCCACCAAGCAGTGTCTGCCCACCCCAATTTTGTCCTTAAAGCAGCCTCACAGCTCTGTAAACTCTGTTCATCCACCCAAACTCTCCTGCTTCCTTTTATGAGATGTGTGGCTGACCATCCATGGTGGGACATTAATGCCCTACACCCAGTTCAATATTGTATTGAATTCTGAGAGTTGTCAAGCATATGGTGTCCTTGAATTTCTCCATTGCTTTTTTTTTTTAATTTCAGATTTTACGCTGCGGAAATTGCCATCGGTCTGTTCTTCTTACAGAGCAAGGGCATCATTTACCGGTAAGTGAGCCCTGCTGTCCTTCCCATCTCCTCCGCTCCCTCAGCTCCTCCCTTCCCTGCCTCTTTCTTTAACTGCTTTTAAAATTAGAATCCATGGTGGGGGAGGAATCCTCCAGTACTAACTTGGGCATGTGTTCTGCCAGGCAGCATCGCCCACTGCCCTGGCAAAGTTTGGGCAGCTCTGTATTGATGATAGAAGATCTTGATGTGGACTCTGTCTCCAGTGATGGTTCGGAGAGCCTCAAACGTGAGACTGTTTTGTTCTAAAAGGAGGAGGCTCACCACTGGGGACCCAACACTTCTTGCCGGTAGACCCCACATCTGGGGAGCAAGCAAAGAATCTTGGCTGGCAGAATGTGCTGGATCAAATTATGAAACAAATTTCTTTCTCTTTCTCTCTTTTTTTTTTTTTTGGCTATGTAACTACAGTCAAGAAATGGATCTCTGAGTAGCTTGCCCTGAAAGACAGGATTAAGTTCAGGACTTGGCATTTGCCCGTTTTTGGAGGAGCAAGTGTACGATCATAGCCGGATGAGTCATCCCATTTGCTATCTCATGCAAGGCAGACTCTTGAGCCCGAGGCTGCTATTTGTCAGTGAGTCCCGGGTGTGCGATTCTCCTCACACCACATGGATGCAGATGGCACTACAGAGCAGGCTTGGGCTGGTTTGTTAGGTCAGAGGGGCTGGACTGGGGCAGGGGGCTTCCAAAGGGCGCCTGGTATGGGCGAGGGCCTATTGAATAGGTCCTCAAAGTCATGAAAGTCCATTTCATTCATTCATTTGACAAACACTTAGCAGAAGCCTAGCACGTGCCTGGCCCCACTCCAGGTGGTGGGGACACAGCAAGAGGGAAACAGACAAAACACTGCCTTTGTAGAACTCATATCCTAGTGGTGGGAGACAGAGCTATAAATTGTAATAGTATCGTCTGGGGAGCGATGAGGAGGACTATGGGGAGAGTCAAGATGAAGGGTGTGAGTGGTGGTGGGTTGCCTGTCATTCTGTCGAGAGTGTGAGATTGGGGTCTGAAGGATTAGCAAAGACCCTCAGAGCCTTGGTCTTCTTAAAGCAACTGAAGGATATGGGACTGAAAGCAGTAAAGAGACTATCCCTGGTGATCTCAAGGCAGAATGTGAAAGTGAGGCTGTGGGCGCTGGTGGGATGGAGGGATGGAGATGGGGGCCTTGCCAGCAGCCTGCAGAATCCTGCAGCTTTTTTTTTTTCACTCTTTGAAGTGGCAATCGAGTCCCCACTCTCCCTGTGTGCTTTTCATAATGGAGGAATGAAGGTCAGGGAGAGAGGTGGCTTTTACCTGGCACAACGGTGATCTCGGTGGAGAAACAGAAACAGAGAGAAGAAGAAGAAGAATTTAAATGGCGAGTAGTGTGGTCATTCTGCCCATGCTTGCCCTCAGTGAACGGGTGTCACCGTGTGTGCATGAGACGACCTGAATGTAATTCAGGTGTTGAAAGGTACACGTCTTCCGTATGACATGACCCCTAGACTCAAGCCAGTGACTTCAGCTGGTGCTTCACTGAAGAACCAGGGATCATGGGTCATTGTTCACCGTACATGGTTTGCACCTTCTCTGCTGACATTAGAACCTAATTCCTATACAGGATGGCCTCCACCAGAACAGAATCAGGCACGCAGGCATTGCTGAGAAGGTGAAACAGGGAACTGCAAGTTTATTGGAAGAAAATCCAGTCACAGGGGAGGACCCAGGAGAGGACATGATTAGAGTTCTTGCCAGCAGGGTTGGGATTTGAGGCAGGGTTTCCAGTCGAGCAGGTACCTGGATTGGGATCTGGGAGCCATTGGTCCAGGTCGCAAAATCCAAAGATTAGCATTCTAGGTACTAAGATCATGTCTAAAGGCAAAGCTTTTTCTCCTAACTACATACTCTCCCTTTCTTCCTCCATTATTTATATTTTTAGGAGGATGTTTTTCTCTCTTTTAAGCTACTCAGCATCTGAGCCCCTTTCATCTGTGTGTAGGAACAGAGTGCACATCTTCCTAAAAGATTAAACACGCCAGATACATTCACAGCCTCCCCGGAGGAAGAGCAGACGCACAACTCAGGCTCTGATGCTCATCACACTCACCGAAGACCTTGAGTCAGAAGTTAGTGACCCAGAAAGCAGAGACTGTAGCTTCCAGAGGGGCCCCAGTCATCAGCTGTATCTACTTTCCAGAGGCGTGAGGGGACATGGTTCTTAGGAGCAACATCCAGAGCCCTGCACTAGGGTTTCATGTAACAAGGGACAGTGTCTGTACCCAGTAGTGACGTCCGTGGCATCCTTGCTGGGGCATCTCTGAGTTGCAGTTAGGCATTATTCCTGGCTCTGTAGCCTCCAAATCTGGTTCTCCAGCCTTTTTGGAAATTCCATGAGCTCCCCAATTCCCTTTAATGAATTCCCTTTTCGATTGGAATAGTCAGAATGGGTTTTTGTTGCTCACAGTCAGGAACTTTGGTTGAGACAGTATTTGCAATTGATAATCAAATGAAAACTGTAAACAAAAATGTACATGACAGAAGATGTATGGTTTATAATTTCATAGAGATTGCCTTCATGGTGGTAAAGTCTTTTTAAATGTGACAAATGCCCCCTCCCTCCTTCATTTAGATCTCTAGTTATTTGGACAGTTCATAAGTCAAGAAGAGGAGGAACCATGTTAGACTTGCCTTCTCTGAGGACCATGGCTGGAGATGCTGGGTTGGGAGGAAGACAAAAGATCCTTCCCAGCTTAGTTTCTGACTTGTAGTTCGCCATCTCTGGAATGTGTGTTGATTTTGCCCTTGATGGAGCTGTGGACGTGAAAACATCTGCCCAGGCCCCCTTTTAAAGCAGAAAAGAGGATTTATTACATCCAACAAAATAATGGAGTGGACTATGAAAACACTGTTATGTGACAGTGAATATGATTGGGGCGTCCTCCAGTCCCGTGACCTGGTGGCTCTTAGCACCTGAAGCTCCTTTTCTATAATAGATGAAGATGTCATTACTGCTGTGGTTACCCTGGCTGCCTATTTCAGGACATGTGGTCAAGCTGAGGGGAATGTCATGGGTCTCCATTCATCAAATCACACATAGGTCTGTTATGTTTAGGTGAAGCAAGTTGCTGCAAAGTCCAGTTTTTCTAAGTTCCAAGCTGGCCTTCAGAGACCACTGTGGCTTATAGATAAGCATGGAGGCTGGCTGTGGGTAGCACCACGGACAGCACCAGAGATCCTGCAGTGTTGCTGTTGGTAAACAGTAGGATGCAAGTGACCTCAGAGACACAGATAGGAGATGCCAGGATATATTTTCAGGTTGTATTCTTTTAGTTGAAAATGATGACGGCAACTCGGTTCAAACTAATTCATGTTAAAAGAGGCATTTTCTGGCTGCCATAACAGAGAAGTCCAGGAGGCAGGCCTCAGACCTGGATGTATCTAGGGGCTCAAATGGTGTTATGAGCATTTACTTTATTATCTCCCCCTGTAGCTTTCTTCTCTCCATCTGCTGACCCCAGCACTTCCAGACTTACTTTCTACCACCTGAGCAATCCCAATGTAAAAAGAGCTCCTCTCTTTCCTGATGGTACCAATGAAAATGCCAGGTCTGATGCTGATGTTCAGTGGCTTCGATTAGCTCATCCTGGGTTACGTGGCCATTCCTGAACCAATCACTGTGACCAGCAGGATGGGATATTTCCACTGGCCAGGACCGACCCACGTGATCACTCCTGGAACCAGAAGTTCGAATCAGCACCCCCAACCTTATAAGGCTTGAGGATCTGGGAAGGTGGTTTTTCAAAGGAATATTAGGATGCTCTTGATGCTGGAATAGGCAGAAACCACAGACGTCCATCACCCGGTGGAGATGATTTAAGGGGGACATCTGAATTGAACAGTAGATTCCCTTACCTTTGAGGAAGCTGGACTTCTAATGGGACTGAGGAGGTCTGGCCCATAGATTGTGCCTACTTGCTGATGCTGAAACACCAAGTGATAACACTGGAGCCAGTGTTTAGGAAGGAGGCGAGTATGATGATATTGGAGTCATCCAGTATGCTGGGAATGTGCAGGGGTTCCCCCAAAACATCAAGCTCTCCTCATCAACACAGATGAAATTAAAGAATGGGAGTGTAGTACGTGTCATTTAGGACATCACTCCGTGGAGGTGACACCTGCCTGACACTCTTTATAGAAACCTCCCCCAGTGACTGTCTCATCATTCTTTTTATTTTCTTTGTACCACCCATCAGAAGCCATAATAACATGCTTCTAGATTTGAATCCTTGTTAATTGTCTTTTTCACTCTCCTAGAATTTAATCTGAACAGGAGCCAGATGTTTGTCTATCTTGCTCATAGTACAAACCTCACTCTAGCATAGCGCCTGTCCCATAGTAGGCACGCAAGAAATATTTTTTGATTGAAAGAATCAGGGGAAACTCATGGGTCATGTTGTAGGAACTGACTTAGGAGAGCCTGGAGCACTGGGTGTTGGGTAAGATGCTCTCAATCAGTTTTTCCCTCCATGTTCTTCAAAATAATAATTTTGTGTTAAAAAAGATCTTCCTGTGCCAGGGGTCCTGAAGTGCCAAAGTCAACTCTGGAGATGCTCGTGGATACAGGGTGCGCTGCCCTTTATTTAGCTGTCTGTGGATCTCTTCTCAGAGCTGCTGTCCCACTGTGTCCTCCTGAGACACTTGGCACAGTTAGCCCTGTAGGAAAAAAAAAAGCACAGAAACTTGTGGACCCTTGCATGTCCTGCCAGACTGTAACCTACTGGAAGGCAAGGTCTGGACTGTACTCACTTCTGTGCCCCCCAAAACTCCTGGTACAGTGTTTTGCACATAACGAGTGGCTGCCGGTTGACTTGAAATAAATAGCGCTTAATGAAACGCGTAAATCCTTCTGCCGGTGCAGTGACCTGAAACTTGACAACGTGATGCTGGACTCCGAGGGACACATCAAGATCGCTGACTTCGGCATGTGTAAGGAGAACATCTGGGACGGGGTGACGACCAAGACCTTCTGCGGCACTCCAGACTACATCGCCCCCGAGGTGGGCTGCCCCAACCCGAAGGCGTGTCCATGTTGTGTTGATGTCCTGACGTCTCCCCTGGGCCCTCGGTGGCTGTGTCTGAGCTGGGAAAGGTCCAGGGAGGGGTACCTGAGAAGCAAACCTCAGGCTGGTCCTTCTCCTGTACTCTAAATCATTCCTCTGAGATCACACATGCAAATTAGCTTAGCACACATCCAGAAGCTCAGGCCCAAAATACATCAAGGTTTGGGAGAAAATTTAAATAAGAATCAAAAGAACCATCCACCACACATCAGTAAATGTGTGGCCATATGATACCTCCTAATTATGACACTGAAATGTTTGTTGAGAGGAGAGAGAGAAAGAGAGAGGTTCCCTGGACCAGCATATAACACAAGATCTGTGTACTAATAGGTATGCAATAGTTGTGCTGAATCCTAAAAGACTCAAGAGTTTTTCTTCTGATGATTAAGATATAAAGTGGAAAGATTTATTTTAGTGCCTCCCCCTCCCTTCCCAAAGGAAGCGGTCAGTTGCAGAATGGATTTCCCCAATATGTCATGGTACCAAAATTTGTACCAGATGATAGCCTTCCTTCTGCTATGAATCGGTGCTCAGGAAGGTGGCATTCTGCAAGCTGTTACTGGGTTTTTATGGAAAGGAACAGAGAGCTTAGCATAGAGTCTTAGAAATGGACCTTCTAGAAGTCTTCTTTTCTTAACTTGATATGTAACAGTGGTGAAGGGAGGCCCCACGTCACTAAATAATTTGGCGCTACATTTAAAACCCGCATACTCTGTTACCAAAGCTGTTCTTCTAGGAACCTACTTTGCTACACACACACGAGCAAAGACATGTGATCAAAGTCCTTTCTTCATCGCTGCACTTTTTTTAATCATGAAAAATAAGAGACAGCCTCAGTGACTATCAATAAAGGAACGGCTGGCTAAAATACACTACGTTTCATATTAAGAAATACTATGCAGACCTTGCAAAGATCAGAACACACCTGTATATGCTAACTTGAACAGTGTCTGCCAGTCAAGGGATGGGCTGAGTGGACTGAATGATCCATAGTATGAATGCTGCAAGGCATCATTTCAAAAAGCGAGTTAGATGTCTATGCAGATATGGAGAGATCTATGAGACATTGTTGGGAGAAAAAAAATGTCAAGGTACAGAATGATAAATGCAGTATGATACAGTTTACAAAAAATAAAAACAATATGCAGAACACTGCTTTATGTTTCTTATGAGTATGTAGACATGCACGCATAAGCATAGAAAATCTGAAGATGACAGACTGATTTTGCAACACTGGTGACCTCTGAGGATGAGGCCATCGTTAAGGGAAATTTAAGCTCAATCCTATTTACCGTCTTCACAAGGTAAATGTATGTGTGTTTTACTTGAGGAATTGACAAGTAATCCGTTAAACAAGTAATCCTTTATTAGGGCCCAGTGGCGTTTTCCCTACGTGGCCCGCACTGGTCTATTATCACTTTGTTAATTAGCTAGGACCTCAGACACAATTCTTTGATCTGCCCTGAGTTCAGTAATCTCTGATTCGTGTCCTTTACAGTCACCTGGAGGGGGGGCTTTTCAAATGGGGGTGCCCAGGCGTCACCGTAGATCAATGGAATCGGAGCCTCTGCAGGGTGGACCCCCACATCTGGGGTTTTCAGAAGTTGTGTAACTGGGGGAGTTGCACCCACAGCCCACAGCCCGCTGATGGGAGGAGTAAAGTGCAGGTCAGGTTATCCCCCTGCTTTGCCGTTAACTAACTCCATCGCCGCTGGCAACTCCTTTCACCTCCCAGGCTCTGGTTCCCTTTGTAAAAGGATTAACTTGTTAGGTTGTCATGAGGGTCGAAGAAGGCACGAAGTACTTTAAAAGTGTGAAAACACCCTCCATGAGTGTCCTCCCAGAAAGCTTTCCCTCTGTCTCTTGCAGCCAGTTTTCAGAGGGGCTTTTCTGATTTCAGGATGGGAGCCAAGGTGGGAGGTGGGAGACGGGGCTGGATGAACGGAGAGTTTCTTCATAGCCAGGCTTGCCCAGACACATTTGCTGAGTGAAACAAGCCATCACTCAGTTAGAGAACTTCTGGTAATGGCTGACATTTTTCTGAGGATACGGTATGTGAGAGGCATGTATGTCTCTCATCCTCACAAGATCCTGTGACATGGGTATTACTATAAACTCCGTTTCGTAGGTGAGGAAGCTGAGACTTAGAGACGTTAAATGACTTCCCTCAAGGTCATGCACTGGGGAGGAGCAGTCAGTGTTCCAAGTCTGGACTGTCTGACCCCCAGTCCTCAGCGCTTAACCTTTGCCCTACCACCTTTTAGTCCCTTTGGTACAGTTAGTTCTCACCCGTCCAACCTGATGGATGGTCATTCAGCTGTCTAGACTCTGCCACGCTCTGGCAATTTGGTAAGAAGTATCAAAACCCTTAAAACTATAATACAGCGTTTGATTCACCAATTCTACTTCTCGGAATTTTCCTTAAGGAACAAAAAATCGAATTACAAGAGTAGATATGTTGGAGCATCAGAAGAAACCTAATCATGTAGAGCACAGGGAACTATGTTCAATATCTTGTAATAGCCTTTAATGGAAAAGAATATGAAGATGCATATATGTATATATATGCATGATTGGGGTGTTATGCTGTGCACCAGAAGTTGACACATTGTAACTGACTATACTGCAATTAAAAAAATTTTTTAAATAAATTAATTAAAAGAAGAAATCTGATCAGTTGGGAACTGATGAGATAGGTTTTGGTATATCCATCCAACGTACAGTTATGCCTTGGAGGTAAAAGCTGATCGTGTTGAGGTACCAGTATCAGCCTGGAAATTTTAAATGAATAAAATACTTTATTAAAGTTCCACATGTTAAAAAAAATTCGACGTATCAAAGTATTTATGTAAAACACATATGTGCACAGTTTCATATATATTAATAGAAAAGAATCTAGAAGGAAATAGACCAAATATCAATCATAATTTTTCTCTTGATAAAGGATTATGGGTGGTTTTAATTGCATTCTCCCAGCTTCTCTATATTTTTTAGTGAATAGTAAAACAGTAAAAAGTGGTATTACCCTTTTTAACTTAAAAATTTTTAACTGTGGCCAAAAAAAAAAAAAAAACCACATTACCATCTTAGCCATTTCTAAGCATACAGTTCGGTTGTGTTAAGTATATTCACATTGTTGTGTAAATGTTGCTACTTTTGTAATGAGAAACAAAGATGGTTTTTCTTCTTTCAAATGCGACACTCACTGTCTTAAAATTAAAAATAACAAACAGTGCTAATTGCTCTGAAAAGGCAATGTGACATCCACAGATGCTTCCCCTCCGCCTGCAGGTATCTCTGCAAAGGATCCATTGTCCTAAAGTAAAGAAACCTGTCTTAGGTGGACACTGGGCTCCCCATTCGCTCTTTTAGACAGCAACCCACATCTGGAACTGTGACAGCCAATTTAATCTTTCACAATAGACAGGCGACAGGCAAAGGAAGAAATCCCCTGCCCCCCTACCCCCCCGCCGCCCTTCCCCTGCCCCCAGCGATGCTCTGCTCTTACTGTAAAAGAAGCGTGTTCAGTCTCCAGCCGCTGCAGGAACCTGCAGGTCTCCCTAACGGATGCCTTCTGTTTTCCAGATAATTGCTTATCAGCCCTATGGGAAGTCCGTGGATTGGTGGGCATTCGGAGTCCTGCTGTATGAAATGTTAGCTGGGCAGGTAATTGAATTTTAAGTGATCTGTAAAGGAAAGCCCCCCTCCACCCCATCCTCATGGTTTCTTTAGGAGAAAGCTGATCCGTCTGAACCTCCATGACCCATAACCTAGGGGTTACCCTAGTCTGCTGATCATTTTCCTCATCTTGTCCCTGGAAGCCCTGAGTGTGGCCTCACTGTGGATCCCAGGGAGTGGGGCACATTGCTTCGAGGCATTTGGGGGAGGTTGGGGGCAGGAATCCTTCCTCTCCCACCCTGTCTTCTGTCCCACAGGCACCCTTTGAAGGGGAGGATGAGGATGAACTTTTCCAGTCCATCATGGAACACAATGTGGCTTATCCAAAGTCCATGTCCAAGGAAGCTGTGGCCATCTGCAAAGGGGTGAGTCAGTCCCATAAAGCTTGCAGCCAGGACCACCATGTACAGGGGTGCAGGTTGTGCACTGCACAAGGATACTTCACTCGGGGAGGCTGGGGTGACAGAACCTGAACTCCAACCCTCACCCCACTTGCCAGCCCGCAAGCCTGGTATAGACCTGTTACCTCCCAGAGGAAAGAGAGCTTTTTTTTCCAGTTTTCACAGAAGCACCGCAGAGGCCTGCCTGCAGCAGCATCTTACTTTGGCTGGGCTCCAGGCTCGAGGCCAGCACAGGGGAATGCTTATGGAATGAATGAGGTAGGCAGCACAGAGACATTGCCAAAGAGCTGGAACCCGTGGAAAGGAACACTGGAGGTCTGTGGCTCGAATCTGTGAGCTTCACGCTGTGCTGGGGCTTGTGTATTTAGTTAATATTAAAAGCGTCTAGCTTTTGTTCTAAGAAAATATCAAGCAGTATTGAGTTTAAGGGATTCCCAAACCCGTATCCTCCCTGCAAAATGGCTGAAAAGCTTGCACATTTGTACATTCAAGGCATGCAAATTGCACCTGTGCAGGAAGCAAGACACATGTTTTTGAGTGAGGATCAATTGTTATGCATCTTATGTTAGGTGAGGATGTGTCACAGTGACCTGGGGAGTCCCTGGAGACCAGTGGTCCTCCCCTTTGGTGCCCTCGGGGCTTTTTCAGAGGGCACACACCTCAGCCTCACCCTAGAGATTAAATCTGAGCATCTTTGTTGTGAAAAAGCCCCATGTGACTTGAAAATCACTATCTTTAAATATATTATCCAAATGTGGTCACTTTGCAACTCTGATGAAAGTGTGAGAGCCATGCTGTGAGACCCCCCGCCACCAGTGAGCATGGCCCAGGAATGCTGCTTTTATAAAGTTTTCTCTCCCACCAGTCAGTGGTGCAGGTGCATTCTCAAGGTCAGAGCATGTGTGTCTGAATGAACCAAGGCTGCCAGTCCTAGATCCTTGGGGTGTTGGCAGATTTCCCATTGCCCAACCCAGCCCTGCCCTCCCTGACCCATCAGATGCCGTGTGAGCTGGCTTGGGTGAAGGAGAGCTGAAAACTCAGGCGGTTTATAACAGCTGGGCCAACCTCTCAGTCTGGAAGTGCCTTGTCACGCCACCTAAATTTCCACTCTCAGTGAATCACCTAAGCTTTGTGTTTTTCAGCTGCATAGGTTAGGATGCAAATATCCCTGGGGAAAACATGGGGAAATTCATCTCAGTTCCTAACATCTTGAGATGTATTGGTTGAAAATATTTTTTGAGGGTAAGGGGCAGAGAGAGGGAAAAAGAAACAGTGTGGAGGCCCAGAGGTTCGTTAGGACCTTAAGCAAGGCTCTTGGGGAAAAAGGAGGACATCGAACAAGGCCAGGGAAAACCCCTGTAGACATTATATGGGGGTGAAGGGAGAGAGAGGTCATACACTGAGCGTTTAGTGTGGTTAAGAATTGCCAGCATTTAAGGATCAAGGGATTTCCCATAAACATTCAGCTTTCCAGTTTCTCTTGAAAAATCTGATCTCACCCTGCTGGTCTGTCCTTCCTGCAAAGCATCAATCAGCTAGATTGGAAGCCCGGGTCACCAGTTTGCAAAAATCCCCATCTGTGTTCAAATCTTGGCATTATTAGCCCTCTGGCGACCGGGAAGTTGTTCACCCTCATCTGCAGACTGGGGGTAGGGGGGCACACGTGGAGGACTGCATATAGGGTTCTCTGATGCTTAGATAAGCTAATACAAGGATATCACTTAGAACAGAGCCTGGCGCTCTGCTCCAAAACCCTTGGGTTATTACTACTACTGTTAGTAATGCTGGCACCACTATGTTACAGGCTAGCCTCCTCTTGGTATTTAAGCTTGCGTCCCTTGAGATGGGGAATTTTTTAAGTGGGGGATTTTGGAGATCCGTATCGTTTGCAATTTCAACTTTCTTCTTCCTAGGTGCATGGCCTTGAGCAAGTTACTTGCATCTCCAGGCTTCTGTTTATCTCTAAAAATGGAATAATAGTCCTCATTGAACAGCGTTTTGTAGAGCGTTCAATGGGGTAACAGAAGAGAAGGCTCCTTGCGTGGTGTTGGCGCATAGTAGGTGCTCGATACATGCTCAAGACCCTCCCCTTCACAGCTCTGCCTGCCTAGACAGCTGGGGTTCTAAGTGGGTCATGGAGGAGAGGGTTTTCCAGGTCAGCTGCATTCAGCTTCAGCTCCAATTAGCAGTTTCCCTGGTAGAGCAGATTTCTATTAATTTCGGACCCATAACCTTCAGGATTAACGAGGGTGACTTTCTTCCTGTTGGGTTTGGGGATCTTTCTGAATTGAGCCGGCTGGGGCCAGTGTGGTCTTCATCTTCAAGGTTGATGCTCCAGCGAAGGGGTGATGCTCAAGTGAACAGCCAAATGCTTCCTCCTGAACTGTGGGCCCCAGGGGGCGCGTGTGGGAGGCGCTCAGAGATCGGAACAGTGATTAAATCCAGCTGTCTGCATGGCTTCAGGCACAGGAGCCCAGAGCGCAGGAGCTGGGCAGAGCCTCGCATTAGTGCTGGGGGTTTCTGTGGTGGCTTTTCTTCGCTCAGCATCCTCCTGCTTATGCGGAAAGTGAGCTAGGATTTTTTTTTTTTAAACAGTCCCGTTCCGATCAAAAATGTTCTTATATTATCCATTCCATTAAAGACGCTATTTTCCACCATTAAAAAAAATTAGTGTAACTTAGCGCAAATTGCTACTCCCACTTAGAACAAACTTAAAGCAGACAGATGCCCAAATTGGCCACCCATTAGGGTGAAAACAAGGAGAAACTGTGTAAGACGGAGCTGTAGGACTCTGGGTCAGGCTGATCCGTTCAAAGCTTGGCTCTGCTACTCAGCTGTGTGATCTTGGGTGGAGGACAACTTCTCTGGACCCAGCTTCTTTATCTGGAAAATGAGGATAAGAGTTTCTGAGGCCTCTGAGTGTTGGCTGTGAAGATGAAAGAGGAATAGGAAATGGCTGGGGAGCCTTTGGCACAGAGTCTGGGCACGTAGGAAGCGCTCAGGACGCAGAAGCCATTGTCAGTGTCATTGCCGGTAACGCTACCAGGGCCTCATAGCCCTTTCTTCCCTCCCATCCTAACCCCACACAAAGGTCGAGGCTTGGCCCAGTTTCCTTGCTCTCCATCAGCTTTTCCTGACCAAGCCAGTCCCCCAAATATCCCTGGGGACCACATGCAAAGAGCTTTTCTGTTTCTCTTAAAAGCCCAAGTTTCAGAGTTCAGCAGAGGGGAGATCTAATCCCAGCTCTGCCACTTAACTACCTCCGTGAGTCCTTGCTGGTTGTTTAACCTTCTGAGTGTCAGTTGCTTTGTCATTCAAATGGGAAAAATAAAACAGGGCAACCCTGGGAGAACTGAGAATCAGAGCAGGCGTATCAGTAAAGAAGGAGCTTAGAACATAAGTGCCTGATTATTTTTCCCCTGGAAGATAAAGCATGCATGGGAAGTATGTGCTGGGGTGCATGTGTAGGAGGGCAGTTTCTGATGACAGATTATCTGTAGCAGGAATCAGGCTGAGCTGAGTGTCCAACAGAGTAGGTGTGAGTTGCTGGATTCATCCCTTCCCCTCTGTAATCCTCAGGCCCTGGGCAGAAATGTGAGGATTCTGCCGTGTGGGCTTCTTGGTGTCGAGTTAACTCTGGGATGCTTCTTGGTCTTACATGTTCCCATCCTTTTGTTTCCTCTTTTGGTGGCCTCTTGCTGACCTTCTTTATTTTTTAAATTAATCATCAACTCCCCCGTCTTTACTCTCCGTGCATTTGCCAAAGTCTTGAGATCAGAGATATTTTCTTGCTGCTTTGGATTCATTTACAAGAGGAAGCCGGTCTGGCTTCATCTTGGAGCATCTTGTTATTTAGCATTGGCTCAGAGACTTGAAGATGGAGGGTTTTGATAATTAAGTAATTTAAATGGGACACCAAAAAAACCTCAGCGGAGTTTAGTGTAATATGTGGTACAAGAGAAATGAGCTGAGCTAGGTTTTGACTATTTAATGAGCTTTCGGGAAGTAATTACTTGAAACTTGGGTCCATTTGGTTAATATTTTTTCTTCTGTCTTGTCATTTTCAAAAGTGCTTTATGGAGAAATGCAAATATTATCCGGATGAACGTGGCCTTTGCCTTGGTCAACCTCCAGTTTCCTCGTGGTGGCAGGAGGGAATTTGAAGATATTGAAACTGTTCTCATTAAATGCCCCAGTAATTGCATAAAACTCATTCTTAAATCAGAATGCATCGTGTGACATTTCTAACTGGAAGCTCAGGGCTATGTTCAGGCTAAGAGTAACCAGAAGGGATCTTACCGTGGGACAAGGAGCAGCAGATGGTACTGTCGGGTCCTCCTATTATAAAGACCTGGCTAGGGATGAAAAGTGAAAAATAAAAATCAGTTAGGACCCTTCCTTATGCCGTCTTCTCTAATTCCTAGGAGCAATCATTTTGGAGAGTCCCATGTTTCCTCTTCTGAAATCCATTTAATTCCACGTTTCTCTTTCTCTTGAAGCTGATGACCAAACACCCAGGCAAACGTCTGGGCTGTGGACCTGAAGGTGAACGTGACATCAAAGAGCATGCGTTTTTCCGATATATTGACTGGGAGAAACTTGAACGCAAAGAGATCCAGCCCCCGTATAAGCCAAAAGCCGTAAGTAAACTGTTCTCTCTGGCTGTTTGGGTCCACATCATGACACACTCTTTCCCCTTTTGATGCGTGTGTCCTTGGCGCCCTCCGAGGGGTGGACACCGATGCATCCACTTGAATATGTCCACGAGTGACACGTAAAGGCACCAGGTACAAAAATGGAGATTTCCGTGCACACAGCTTCTATCGATGCGAGAAAGACAATGGACATCGCGTTTTTTTTTTTAACAATTCAATTATCGTAGCTGTCTGAGCTGGCAACTCTTTGGGGCAGTGGTTCTTTGGGGAGCAGAGTTCAGATCCATTTCTGGACTGTGATAAAGACTCTGATTTAGCCCTCGTTCTTTCCTTGGTTCGGCTGTGTCGTTTTCTCCTCCATACTGACATTGAAAAGGTCATGTTGTTTATCTCAACAGTATTTAAATTTCATTCTGAAATACACACTCCATCTGAGTCAGTAAAGAAGACAGCGTCACCAGCCAGCTCCCACCCAAGGCGAACCAGAATGGAGCAGGGGGCTGACGTGCGGAGCCCTCCTGGAGGCTCTGGGTGTGGAGATGGCTTTCAGAGAACGTTTGAAATAGAAGAAGGAAAGTCTCACGTTTCTCACAGTCGTGGGCGCACTTTGGGTCTTCCATCCCCAAAGGCTCAGCACGGAGTTCTTGTCAGCCCCAGGGAGGAGGAGTCTGCGCCTGAGTTAATCAGAACCCTGATTCTAGTGGGAGGAAACATTTGTTTGATCAAGGACAGCGGTGACTTTATCACAGGTTGTAAAACTGATGACTGAGGCTGAAAAGTGCACATAAACATTGTCATCGAAATCTGAAGTTGTGAGCGTCTCAGGTGTTAAGATGAAGAAAATGACCATGATAATGGTACTTACTTTGATGTTATAATGAATTTCCTGGCCACTTATGTGGCTGTGTTTAGCGCTTCACAGGTAGCCTCTAATTAAATCCTCACAGCAGCCTGTTTATGCAGATGCTGTTATTCCACATCTTGGAAGAGGAAGTGGAAGCTCAGAGAGGTTAAGTGCTCCGTCCAGGGTCACACAGCCAGCGCGTGAGGAAGCAAGGATTCAGCGAATGACTGCAGTAGAGACATACCAGAGTGCCTGGGGCAAAGGACATGTAGTTTAAGAAAACCTTCCAGGTGCTTCTCACATCTCCCCAGTCCTGCACATCCCAAAAGATTAGAACCACAGCCTCCCCGTTTCTCTCTGGGCACTTCCTGGTGTTCAGAGGCGGGGCTCTTTAGAGGCAGCCCGTTCCACACCGCGGTCCTTCTGATTGTTGCAAACGTATTTATTGATAGCAAGTCAGCGTCCCCAGAACTGCCGTCACTGGGTCCTGTTCTATCAACCAGAGCCCCTTTCTCAGTAGAGCATCCTTGTGCTCCTGAATCCTGCGATTTCCAGGCTAAACACACCCCCTCCTCCACCTACAGTCATGTCCCCTATTGTATCACCTCCGGGTGCCTGTTGTTCTCCAGGTAATCAACACCCATTTTAAAATCCAGTCACAGGATTGAGCACAATATTCTTAATAGTGTCTGACTCTCGGTGAATACAGGGGGTCCAACAAAGCATCTCTTGATTATCCTAGATCTGGAGAACTTGGGTGAGTCAGTTCCCTTCTCTGCTCCTCTGTTTCATCATCTGTAATAACAGCAGTGATAGTAGTTCCTTCATCAGAAGATGGTCGTGATGCATGAAGCACTCAGTACGTGCGCTCTGGGAGAGTTCATGATGGCTTTTGTTAGTGGCGTGTCACACACTGACCCATGTCTCAAGTGGCAGGATCTTTGAAGAGCAGAGCATTATCAAGTCCTGCTTATGCTAGTCCATAAGATAATGTCCGTGTGTACACCTGCGAGTCATAGGCTGTGGAAAAAGATTAAAAAAGCCATCTGGAATAGAAGAGTGGGTTCTTTCCGTTCAGGAAACTGGGAGCTTGGAGGTGGCACACACAACTCATTTGGGTTTTGTGTGGCTATTCCTGAGGTCTCGAAATGTGGACCGATCTGTCTTCACTTGGCCAGAGGGAAGATGCCAGTGCCCCTGTCCCCACCAGCCTTGAGCCAGTGATTTTTGAGGTTCATTCCTTACCTGTAGAGCAGTGGTTTTGAAAGTGTGGTCCCCAGACCAGCAGTATCACCTGGGAACTTAAGGAGTGAAATTCTCAGGGCCCGGCCCAGACCTCCTGAATCAGAAACCCTGGGGGCGGGGCTCTCCAAGTGCTTCTGGTCTGCGCTCCAGACGGAGACTCACTGCCGTGGGATTCACTGTCAAAAGCTTAGCAGGGGCCAGGGGAATGTGGCGAGGTGAGAAATCTCTTTAAGGGGAAGACCCTGGTTCTCACCCAGTCTGAGTGAGGGGTAGTGGCTTCCAGGAACAGGTCACAGACTCAGATGGCTGCAGAGGCTGGGCAGGTAGTGTTTATGAGGGAAGTGGGAGTGGCGGGGGGGAGGGGCAGACAGGAGAGCTGGGGGCTGTCTGTCTCCAAGGCTCCCTGGGCGTTCACCTCCAGCTGACCGGTTGGAGGCTCCTCTAGGTCATTACCAATTGCTGTGCTCTTTTTGTGTTATCCATGAGAATAACGGCTATGCTTTCCTGAGAACGTCCTACGAGCCAGGCTCTGCGCTAGTCAGCTTTGTGTTGTGAGGATGCAGGCTCTGTCTGCATGGCTCCATCCTCATCAGGATTTCCATTTGAAATCCCACTGAAGAAAAATTTTATATATATATATATCGGCCACAAAGTTTCAAAAATTAAACACAATGCAGGTCAAATAAAAAACATCCGGGGCAGTTATACCTCAAGTGGTAGAGTGCATGCTTAGCATGCATGAGGTCCTGGGTTCAATCCCCAGTACCTCCATTACAAGAAATAAGTAAGAAATTAATAAGAAATAAGTAAACCTAATTACCACCCCCCACCCCCCAAAAAGATGTTCTGCCTCCAGCTCTAAGGGGAAGAGGCATTGCCCCTGATCTTTTTAGAGTGAATTGGAAATAAATACAATGATGGATACCCCACCCACTCATTTGATGTGACCTAGGTGTATGCCTTTCACGCAGCAGATGTCAGCCTTACAGCCCCCACCTCTCCCAAGGATTGCACATTTCCCCTTCCCCACACTTTGCAGAAAGTGCCGTGGTGAGTGTACAGAGTTCTGTGTGCCTCGCGGCGTGTTAACAAGAATGCGTGTGTCTGCCAGCGTCCCTGATTCATGCATGCTATTAAACAGAGTGCAGCAAGAGAAAGAAAAAAACACGGGGCAGTAACAGAGGGTGATATTCAAACATCAGTGAAGGGTGCTATTATTGGAGATTCATTAAAATAATTTGAAATGGATTTTTAAAGTTGTTCTCAGTGCCATCTTTTATGGTGGCAGGAGCTGTTCACAGAGAAACCGCTGAAATACACTAGCATCGTGTATTGCTTCGGGATACAAGAGTAATTTTTCCTTAATGTGCATCTGATTGTGTCGCTGTTTTGCTTAAAGCCCCCCTGATGGCTCTCTGCTGCCTCCAGAATAATGTCTATTGTTCCTTAGCCTTTACAGCTTTCAGGGTCTTCCACGGCCCAGCCCCTGCCGCCTCCCCAGGCTCCTGACTTCAAGAACCAGCATTTCTGAATGTCTTTCAGTTCCTCAGACGCGCAGTGCCTTCTCTTCCCTTCTTGGCTTTGCCCACGCAGAGCATCCACCTGGGAGCCCCAGAGCCTCCCTGCGTCCCCTCCGTCCCCCACCCTTCTGGTACCTGGCTCCTTCCCCCTCATCAAATCAGTAAACCGTCACCCACTCAGGGAGGCTCTTGTTGACTCCTGAGTAGGGATCATCTGCTCGTGTCTTAATCAACAAACTCATCACACTTTGTCGTAATGACTTGTTCAGTGCAAGGTCTGTCTTTTTGGCTAGACTCAAAGATTGCGACTGTCTTTTTCAGTGTTGGATCCCAGTACTTAGCATAAGGTTGAGCCCATAAGGGTGCTTAATAATGTTTACTGAATAAATGATTGAATAAACAAATGGCTGTAAAACAGGATGCCTCAAGGCACCGTGTTAGGGAACGTGCGGGATTCTTTAGGGATATGTATTAGAGCACAGGGTGTCTTTCTCATGTACAGCAGGGTGTCTCAAATAAATTGGTCGTTGGGTAAGTCCCTACCCTGTTTATAAAGGGCTGTGATTTAGGTGCTGGTTGTATCTGTCATGACATCATGTGGCTGTGTGACAAAAGATCTGGTGGTGCGGTGCATGAATTGCTGGACTTTGGATGGAGAGGGCTGCGACTCCCACGGTCTGTCCTTGCCCAGGCCAGTGCTCCGGTGCCGTGACGTAGCCCAGCAGACCTTCTTAAACTTCAGTGTGTGCGCACGAGGCACTAGGGATACCTGATTAAAATGTGGATTCTGATTTAGCGGGTCTGGAGTAGGGCCTGAGATGCTGGATTTCTAACATACTCTCAGGGGATAGGAAGCTGCTGGACCACGGTGCAGCAGGGGCTGGAACGTGGTTCTGTGGGGGTGCTGCCAGCCGGCGAGTTGAATGGCAGATCCTGTGTAGATCAACGTGCCGTGTCGCATGGTGAGGGTCGTAGGAAGGGGTTTATCAGCTTTAGCACAGAATGTGCTTGGAATGTGGTTTGGGGCGCATGGCAGGGTGTTGTGGGTCCACATGTGGGCGGCAGGTGCTAGTTTGTGTGAAGGATGGAGTATGTGGCTGGGTGCGTGGGGAGACAGTGAGCTGAGAAGCAATGTGTTCTGGTTCTGTCCTCTAGTGGGGACGTTACGAGTCATTGAGGTTAGGTGCTGTTCTTGGTGCTGGAGAGACAGCAATAAAAATAATAAAAATCTCTGCCCTCATGGAACTTATATTCCAGAGGGAGCAGGCAAAGAAGAAACAGATCAGTGAATATGTTAGAAGTTGAGAAGCAATAAGAAGGGATGGAGATTGGGAGGGCTGGGTCAAGGAGAGGTCAGTTTTAAATAGGGTCATTGG